TTGCTGTAACTCTATAATAGAGCTTGATGTCAGGGATCGTGATACCTCCAGAAGTTCCTTTATTATACAGGATTGTTTTGACTATCCTGGGTTTACTGTTTTTCCATATGAAGTTGTGTATTGTTGTTTTGAGTCCTATGAAAACCAAAATAATCACATAGAAATTGTATTATTTAAATCACTGCTTGACCCCTTAGCTCTAGCTTCTTATTAGCCAACTCTTACATAATAATTTAACCCATTTATTATTATTTATTATAAATAATAATAATTATTATTATTTATTGGCCAATCTGTGTATGGCCACGTTGTTGTTGCTTACTAGCTAAAAATTCTGTCTGGCTATTGCGGGGCTACAAGGCTTTCTCCCAGCATTCACTTTAGTTTTCCCCACCTAGTTCTGTTCTTTTGCCTTACTACAGTCCAAGACAGTTTCTTTATTCATTAACCAATAAAAGCAACACATAGACAGAAGGACCTCAATGGCCCAGATGTCTGAGTTCTACATCCAGAACAGATTCAAGACTGCTGCCTGAGATGATCAAGCCTCACAGGATACTCCAATCATGACTTGATCATAATTATAAATTTTCTTTAGGTCCCCATAAGTTTATCAACACCCCCAGTCAACAGGAAGTAGACTGGAAAACTATGTTCACATTCCCAAAAAATGGACTATAGCTATTTTTCTCTGTTTAGAATGTTGGTTACAAGTTGTTATGGATAATGATCAGAAGAAAAGCTAAACAAAAGATATTAGATTCAGAGTTCCTGCTAAAAAAAGTAAGGGGGTGCTGTGGGACAATGGTCTTTTATCCTGTCGCTTGTATTATTTTCAATAAAATGTTGACTAGCCAGTAGCCAGGCAGGACGTATAGGTGGAATGACCAGGCAAGAGGTAGAGGTGAAGCAATGAGAATTCTGGGAAGAGGGAAGTTTCATTCTGTAGTTGTGACCCGGATGGAGAGGAAGCAAGATATGTCTTGCTCACCAAAAAAGGTACCAAGCCACATGACTAACATCGACAAGAATAATGGACCAATTTAAGATGTAAGAAGTAATTAATAAGAAGCCTGAGCTACTAGGCCTATCAGTTTATAATTAATGTAGACCTTTGTGTGATTTCTTTGAAACTTAACAACTGCAGAAACCAGTTAACACTGCCTATCCAAGAGTATGGGAAAACTTTCCATTTTCTTATACCTTCTTTAATTTATTTCTTCAAAGACTTAAAGTTCTTGTCAAATAGGTCTTTCACTTTTTTGGTTAGTATTACCCTAACATATTTTATGTTATTTGTGACTATTGTGAAGGATGATGATTCTCTGATTTCTTTCTCAGTTTTCTTTCTCATTTGTATACAGGATTTTTTTTAGTTGATCTTGTATCCTGACACATGATACCATTATTTTAAATCTTAGTCCTGAACCCATGTTTATTTGTATCATGTTGCATTTGGGATAGGAAGATCCACCTAGGAACTACCTTGAAAAATACACAGAAGGACCACTCTAGGACACACCTAAGTTTTTTAAAAAATGTCTTGAAAGTTTTCTAAGTAAAGATTGCTTTTAGGATAAGATAAATATTGGGGAGGCTTTTATACTTCAATTCCTACATTATATTTAAAGTAATGGGCAGGAATGAATGAGTCATTTACAGCAAAGTTCTTCACTACAGATGGGCACAGGTCAAACAAGGGACTCTAAATTGTCCTGGTCCATGTTTGGGACTTGATCTGACAGCAAAATCTCCAGTGCTTAGCATCACTTATTCTAATTCTGTAGAATGAGAGATTTGAGAAGAACAGCAAGAGACTTGGTCTATGTGTCAGAAGTAGATTCTGCCCAGGTCACAGCTTGGCACTTTGTGAAGATGAAAAACAGTCAGGAACTGCAGGGAGCTCCATACACAGAAACACAGTTAGTTGTTCATTTTCTCAACTCACATTCTTCCTCTCAAAATAATTAATCTTTAAGTAAGCTTAAAATAGGTTCTGAGGAAAACAGATGTGGTAATTGTGGAAAGAGGGAACGTTGTACTTAAGGGACTGGGGCTCTGCAGAGGCTGTCCATCCCCCTGACACTGTGACAACATGAAACTTGAAGTCTGCAATACCTGATGGAAGCCAAGAGCCCACAAATTCTGAAGTACAAATATGACCTGGAAAGTATCACCTACCCAGAGCTGCTCCAGATCCTGTCTGCACCACAGAGGTCCAGGTGAGTACATGGAGGTAAGATCTTTGATCCCCTCTGCTGTGCCATGGAGAGTTTCATTAAAGCAGAAGACTCTCTGACTAATCCAGGGAGCAGTAGAGAGGCTCCATAAATCTCAGGACTTCCACTTTCCTTCTATCTCTGCCTCCAGAAAGATCAAAGAAAACACGTTCCTGGAGATACTGAAATGGAACAGAAATGCTGAAGCATCACTATCCATTCTCAGGCTGGAGTATCATGATTGATCTCTGACTGGGTCTTTGACTAAGGCTACCTTTCTAAATGAATTTATAAGACAGATAAGATTTTCAGAGGTCTGTCAAACCCTGGAGGCAATCATGATACATTACTGTAATGTCAAGACTAGAAAGACTGAGGCAAGGGAATTGTTGTTTAGGGCTCTCCTCGTTTACAGAGAGAAACTCTCTTCTCTCTCAAAAATAATTAGATAGATGAAAGACAAAAATTACTTCTTTCAGGTATGAGTTTGCCAGCACTGTGACTTCAACATTGTCACTAGTGTTTGTAACAGTTGTACTTTTCTTTTTTGATGCATTTTCATTTTTCTAATATTGGCATAGTTTTTACAATAGCCTTTTTAACTCTGTTTGATGGACTTTCATCTGTATTTATCCTTTAAGGCTCTCGATTTTATCATATACCATTTTGTAATGCTTGTCTTAAATTCAATCATTATTTGCCTGAATTTATGAAGAATATAACAATCAGTGTACAGTTATCGTTACCATCTTGAGAACTGTACTTTATAGGATCTAGGCTGTGGAGGAGGACACCCTGAAACAGCTCATCTTAAGTTTATCCCATGCTAAGCAGCAAATAACAACAATCTTTTTAGTTTGGTTTATTTGCCTGCTTCCTCATTTCTTTTAGAGAAAAGCAGAATGAGTGGATGTAACTTACTTCATCAGCTTAAGCATAAGTCCATCCCACCTTTCAAATTCATTTTTTATTAGCATTTTCCAAATAATGTGGAAGATGAGACACTTCTTCCTTCACTGACAGTGACTTCAGTAAAAAGAAAGCAATTATTAGAAAATCAGAGCCTGGTCTCAAGTATGACTTAAAGCTTGGAAAAGAGAAGAAAGGACTGGAAAAGCAAAAATCCCCATGAAAGCAAGGATTAAAGAAACAGGAAAATGTTAATATCTTCCATCAGTACTTGAGTGAACTGATAGCAGGGATTTTGACAGATTCCAATCTTTGACAAAACACTTAACTTTTTATTCTTAATATGTCAGTGAATGCTGATGCACTCTCTGTTAATATCTGGAACACGTTTCATTTGTACAGATATTTAGATGGTATTGTGATGTCTAGGACTCACTGAAACAAACAATACGTACATCATTGCTAAAGGAACAGCTGAAAGTAATAACTGACATTTCTAGAGTGATGAGGCCATCTGGACACAAATCTCAGACCAAGGCTAGGTTGATGAAAGTCACTGATAAGATCATCCAGACAGAGGCATGTAAAGCTATCCCGTGAGTTTAACAGGAAGGAGGGCAGGGAACAGAGGCATTGCAAGTACTAAGAACACTTAAACCCTTGCATCCACTGTAATATTCTGATTCCTCTTATCCTAGAACAGGTGCCTAAAGCTTATCACAAATTCCTGAGAAATGAGAATGGAGATCCAGAACTTGAAGAATAGCATCCTGCCCAGAACCAAGTTCTGGAATCAGATAGGACTGGTAAATAAAAAGCATCCTGCCTGACAAACAGGTTGGAGGAAAAGTAGGCTGCAAAACCGGCTGACATAATAGCTGCTCAAAAGACCCCACAGAAGCAAATGCCAACATGAACTCTTACATCGTGGAATTCCTGCTCACACAGGTATGCCATTACCCACTGTGCTACAAACAGTTGATATTGAGGACACGAGACTCAAAAACTGCACTCATCTCATGGCACTATATACTCCCTCATTAACCCAATTCTTAGGTTTACCTCATCAGCATCCCCTGGTCCAGAGCTGTTCCGTGTTCCCTTATGTCTCCTGAGGTAACTCACTGGGATACAGATGCCCTGAGTCATCCACTAGGATCACAGCTCTCTGTTAGCCCTCTTCTAGGAAGTAACACAAGGTTCTGCTAGACACCATCCCTAACTGCAGCCTGGTAGTTCTGTGAAAATTTGCAGGTTATATTTTGATGGTTCAGCTTTAACTGAATGCCTCTATCTGCACAGGTTGTGCAATTGGACTTGACATTTAGAACTATCTATTAAAAATAACTAGTAAACATTTATAGGGAATGAAATCACAGAATAGTCAACATAAAAACTTTAAAAATATTAATATGTAGAAATTGAAGTAATAAAGCTTTGAAGCCAAATGCATATCTAGAAACTGTTACACTAAGATAAAAATAAGAAAGGAGTCTTTATCTTTGAACCTGGGGGACTATGACGAAATAGAGAAAAAAGGAAGAAATTTGGTTGAAGAAAAAAGAAGTTCAGTTAAGTTATGCTGGCAGTTAATTAGCATAATCCATGCACAGAGATAAACAGGGACACACACACAAACACACACATTCACAGAAATCAGTTTTGCTAGTACAGAGCTCAAACATATCTCCTTTAAAACTTCAGAGTTTTATTCCAGTTTCCAAACTCACCTATCAGAGCACACACATAACTCACAGTCCACATGAAGAGGAGGATTTTGGGGACCCAGTCTACAGCAGCACATGTTTCCATCTCTCACTCTCATACACCAGAAAATGCTATTATGTGAAATGTTTTACAGATAAATGTCTAGAATTACTGATGCTTTCTGGAAAAACACTTTGTATCCTGAATACAAGATTTTCTACACAGCAAGGAAGAAATGCTTTCAAAATTTATTAAGCAAGTATCTTTACTCTTCATGACAATGTTTGGAACTCTGGGAAATATTTCTGTTTCTGTGAACTATATGTTCAGTTGGTTGGGAGGGCTTGAGAAGAAACCCATACACCTTATTCTTATCCACTTGGCTTTTACAAACATCATAATTCTTCTTGCAAACGGATTGCCAAACACAATGGCAGCTTTTGGTTTGAGAAACTTCCTAGATGACATACAATGTAAGATCCTCGTTTACCTGTCAAGGGTGGCCCGTGGGGTCTCCATCTGCACTAGCAGTTTCCTCACTGTGGTCCAGGCCATCATCATCAGTCCCAGAGCATCTGGGTGGAAAAGGCTCAGACCAAAGTCTGCATGGCACATCCTTCCATTCTTTTCATTCTTTTGGATACTCAATGCTTTAATAGGTATGAACCTAATCCATTCCATCACAAGTACAAGTCTGAATATATCACAGTTTAAGAGTGAGGACGGCTACTGTTATTTCATGCTAGAAAGTTGGCAAACAAAATGGATTGTTCTTCCCTTTATGGTCTTGAGAGATGCTGTGTTTCAGGGAGCCATGGGAGGCGCCAGTGGCTACATGGTACTTCTTCTCCACAAGCACCACCAGCATGTCCTCTACCTTCAGAACTCGAAGCTTCTCTACAGAACTCCCCGTGAGCTAAGAGCTGCTCAGAGTGTCCTCCTTCTGATGCTCTGTTTTGTTTTCTTCTATTGGGCTGACTGTGCTTTTTCTCTATTTTTAAGTCTTTCTTTAGCAGAAAAATCCTTGACAGCAAATGTTCAAAAGTTTCTGGCTCTTGGTTATGCAACTTTTAGCTCCTTTGTGTTGATTCACAGGGATGGACTTCTGCCTGAGTGTTGCGAGAAATTGAGAGACTATCTCGTTCATGTTTCTGTTCAATGATTGTGGAAAAACTCTCACTTCTGCAATATTGTAGTAAGACAAAATTCTTATAAAGTAGGTTAAGCATGTATTTATTCTCACATATTCTTCCTGGTGACTCACAACCTTGACCTGAGAGACAGAGAGAAAGAGCACGCACATGAAAGAGAGAGAGAGAGAGAGAGAGAGAGAGAGAGAGAGAGAGAAAGAGAAAGAGAGAGAGAGAGAGAGGAAAGAGAGAGAGAGAGATCTTAGTAAATTACAGTGATAAACCTTATTCTCCAATTTTCCTCTCCTTTGAAGGGATTTGTTTAATTCCTATATTAGTATAGGAATACGTATGGATAATTTACCTACATTATGTCCATGTACCTCAGCCACGCCTGATTCCTGTAAAGGGTTGATGAGGTAATCAAACGCCCTGTGACTGACTGGAGTTAGAGAGGTTCCTCTCAACCAAAGTGTGGTTGCTAGGAATTAAACTTGAGACCTCTAGAAGACAAGCTAGTGCTCTCAACTAAGGAGTCATGTCTCCAGCACAGAGAAAATGCTCTTAATTATATTTAGTAAAACTGTCACCATGATTGGAAGCACACAGATAAATTTGGTCAATTTTATTAATTTCATAGTGATTTAGTCATGTTATCCAAAGAAATTCATATCTTGTACCAGATGTTGTATTTCTTAAATGTTAGTTTAGCTATGATGCTATTTAAAGTGTCTGTATTTTTCCATCTGTAGATAATATTTTACAGAATTTTGAAAAATGGTATGAACTACCATGAATCCCAACGCACCAGTCACAAAACTTAAATGCACTGAAATGTTTCTGTGGTCTTATATTCATGGAGGTTCTCTACAGGAATTAACATTGTCCATATGGGATAAACTAGATAAGGAATACACAATAAAGTTTTATTTTATATCCATTTGTAGTTTCTATGTTGATTAAAAAACTTGGATTTGCCATTTTGCAAGATTCATATGCAGTGTGACTGAAACAGACTGAGGCTTGTTAGCAGCTGCCCCCTGTTAATGTCTGGTTGCTCTCCACAACACTGTCCAGCTGTTTGTCATCAAAGACCTGCAAAAGATCTGATTCTACATCCGTTTAAGAGAAGGATTCACTGCTTTATTTCTTAACATATATCCACACAATAAGATATTGATATGGTTCTAAGAATCTGATAGATTCATTCTTAAAAATACTTATTAATATAATTGTTGATCATGAAAGTCAAGAATTTCTAGAGGTGGATTTATGCCCCCCCCCTTTTTAAAACTGTTCTGTCATATCTGACCCCTGAAGCATTTTCGGTTCCTTATGGTTCTACTTTACAATAATGCATAAGTATTTATATTTTCCTTGGTTGCAGTGTATATGCAAAATATTTAAGTAAGTGATGTGTATTGTATTATACTATAGATTATTAAATAGCATGTTCTTCTAATATAAGATTTATTTTATGCGTGTGTCTCTGTGAGTGTGTGCCATATTTGTACAGGCCCCCACACAGACTGGCAGAGGGCACTGACCACAGGGAGTTAGAGCTACAGGCAGTCATGAGTCCTAGATGTGAGTGCTGGGTAAGGAACTAGGGTCCTCTACAAGAGGAGCATGTCTCCTAAATGAAGCACCCCTTCAGCTCCTTCTCACATTTCTCATGTAGTGTGACGTGTTTGTAGGGAACATGTATTACTTCTCTGAGTTTCACCCTCTTCAGTTACGTAGAGGACCAGACTAACAAACACCTTCTCAGTCAGTTTGTGTAATTTTACTCAAAATGAAGTTATGTAAGAACATGGAGAAGGAGTGAAGAAAGATGTGTTTAATCTTAAATTGGCGAAGAAATTGTTCAGCATTAAGAATAGAGAGAGGTGGCAGGGTGGTGGTAGTTCATGCCTTTGACCCCAGCACTCAGGAGTCAGAGGCAAGTGGATCTCTGTGAATTCAAGGCCAGCCTGGTCTACAAGAGTTAGTTACAGGACAGGTTCCAAAGCAACAGAGAAATTCTTCCTTGAAAAACAAAACAAAACAAAAAACAACAACAAAATAGATGCCTCGGTGGGTAAAGGCACCTGCTGACTAGTCAGAAAAGCTGATCCATCTCTGACAAGGAAAACTGATTCCCATGTCTTGTCCTCTGACCTCCATATTCATGTTGAGACATGCACACATGAATACACACACAAAATCTTTAATTTGAAATTAAAAAAACAGACAGGAGATACATAACAGTCGACACAGCATGAACTAGAATGGTCTGGACTCTGAGTGGCATATAGAGTTGGTATTGTGAATTTTTCTCTAAAAAAAAGAGTATATTGGAAAAAATAAAATAAAAACTTGATCAGAACATAAATTAAAACTTTAACATATGATGAAAATTGTAAATAAGTAGTGGATAGTGAAGGCAACCGGGAAATCAATTTCAAATATGCCCTTCAAGGAAAGCACATAAGATTAGACAGATAGATTAGTATAAATAACTTCACAATTTCCTTATGCTGGGCACATTGTTTGTAACTAGCATGGACCTGTGGGCATTATGCTAAGTGAAATAGGTCGTCTGCATATAGACAAATACCACATGATTTTACTAGTAAGTGGAACCTAATAGAACAGAGAATAGAGTCTTCAGAGTGTGGTGTGCAGCCCTCAGAAACTACCTCATATTTGTGAGGTGTTCATGCTTATGTCTGGTTCCTCCTTATAATCATAAGTATGAAGCTGTGGCTACTCAGAGCTTGCCAGTCTTTGCCTTCAAATTCTCACTGTCATGTGACTTCTTAGGAAGATATTTAAAAAAATAGTTCACCCCAGATCAGGGTAAAAACTGTGCATGGAATTGGTTCCGTCTAAGCTGAGTTGAGTGGACCAGTTTACTTGGGTTACCAGATTACATTGTAATTTATAGGTCATGGGAGGCTCAAATGCACCTGCATGACCAGATATTCTGGCTCCAATATAGGTGACAATCTACAAAAAATATCTGTATGAGAAAAGATCCAAAGCCTTGATTATGATTCTACCTCCTATGTATTCCCCCTAGTTAATAAGCAGCTATGGCAGGAAGAAGTGGAGACTAGTGTCTTAAGTGAAGCTGTGGAAACAGGCTCCACCTTTCCTAAAGATTCTAACCATCTCATTACCAGTACCATAGGGCAGACTACCTCTCTACTGTGCCAAAATTATATACTGTGGGACTTACAGTCACTGTTTCATGGTGGCCAATGGTTCTGTCAACTTGATACAAGTTAGAATTGCCCAAAAGGAGGAAACTTCCATTGGGAAGATGCCACCATAAGATCTAAATGTAGCATGTTTTCTTAATCACTGATTGAATGAGGAGTTCCCAGCCTTTCTGGATAGTGCCATCTTTGGGCAAATGGTCCTGAATTCTATACAAAAGTAGACTGAGCAACCATGGTGAACAGGCCAGTTAGCAGCACCACTCCATAACCTCTGCATCTGCTCTGGCCTCCAGACTCCTGCACTAGGTGAGTTCCTGTCCTGATACCTTGATAATAAACAGTGATGTGGAAGTGTAAACCAAACAAACCCTTCCCTCCGTTTAAGAACATGACCCAGGAATGGAGTAGTTTGAGAATTCTGAGTGCTTGTGGAAACACTCCAAGTAAACAGGACAAAAATCTCTCCGTTTCTCCAAATCACACAACTTTTCTTGGAATGTATTTCCACGCTCTGTGCAGGCATAGCAGAAAGGAGTTGGTTTATTTCTGATTGCCGCCTATTGCTTGTTATTGATAATCATTTAAAGGTTTAAAAAGTCCTTTGTGGGCTTCTGTGAAGAACATGATTTTGTCATGCTCAGCTTGTCTTTGTCATTGTATACAGCGTGATCTCATGCGAACGTTCTTACCCTCAGAGAATAACTTGTCTGCTGCTCTGAATAAAGTTGGCTGTTGCATGAGACTCCAGTCCACCTCATTCTCCCAGGTCCCACTACCTCTGGAGGGTGACAAGTGGTGCCTGAAAAGGGACCTGAAGTTGGCTATGAAATCAGAGAGCGGGGACCATCATGGAAGGAGATGACTGAGAATAACAGGGCAGACACCAGGGAAGGCTTCGTTTTATGTTGAATTTGTGCTTCATTTTTTAAAGAAAGGAGGAGCAATACTATCAAAAACACAGCTATTAAGTGGTTTTCAAGTTATTTGTGAATAAAAGCCCTGGCTTTAGGAAGAAGGAATTTTACATGAGGAAGTATGGAACAGAGTCCCAAAAGCACATTGAAAAGACATATAAACAAGATGAAAGATCCCCTATCAATTCTGGGTCTCTTGGGCATTAATCTGAACGGTTACAAAAATACTTAGGGAAGATGAGGATGTTATTAATCATGAGGAAAAGATATCTAATACCTTTCGTGACTATAAGCTGGATAATGAAACCTTAAAATTGATTTTCAAAAAACAGAGACAAAAAAAGATTTTCCCCATTCAGGCAAAATGTAAAGTTAAAATGCCCCACTGACAACTCTGGGAGTGATTGTTCCCCAGCTCCCTTACTGGAGCCTCTTTCAGATATGTGCCCTACCTTGTCTGAAGATTTCCCTAAAACGTGAGTGAGGAATTTGATGATCAATCTAATCTTGACAATTCTTAATGAGGACTTAGGAGAGCCTGTGGAAAAGCTAAGTTTAGAACTCAGGGAAGCTAGGAGACTCAGGTAAAAGGAATTCATTTACCAGTTCCTCTCCAGCCTCATGAGCTGAGCTTGGTATTTCCAGTTGAAATTCAACCAAGTCAAATGTCAGTGATTGAACTTGGACATAAAGAAAGATTTTTGTAAAGGCCTATGCTTCCTATGTAACTATTCCATACTGTTACGAATATGTTACTGGTTAGAATAACACTACACAATGATGGCCATGATTTTTTTTTCATTTTTATTTTTTTATTTTTTTGGTTTTTTTTAATTTCCACTTCCTCCCCTCCTCCTTTTTCCCTCCCACTCCCCGCACTCCCCCTCTTCCTCCCTCTCCAGTCCTAAGAGCAGTCAGTGTTCCCTGACTTGTGGGAAACCCAAGGTCCTCCCCCGTCCATCCAG